CTAAGGAGCCTTAATGGTACAGCTGCTAATTTGGTTACTCTTTTGGCTGATAACCAAAAGGTCAGTGGTTCAAATCCAACAGCTGCTCGCTCCATAAGAGAAAAATGTGCCAGTCTGCTTTGTAAAGATTTACAGCCTTGGGAATACTATGGGACAGGCCTATTCTGTCCTACAGGATCACTGTGAGTCAGAATCAACTTAACAGCAGTGGGTTTGGGTGTTTCCTGTTGCTGCCATAGTCAAGTACCACAAATTGGGGGGAGGGGGCCACAGTTCTGTTGAAGTCCAACACTGATCTCAATGGGCTAAAATCAAAGTGTCAACAGCAGGAGTGCATTCCTTTCTAGAGGCTCTAGGGGAGAAGCTGTTGTCTTGCCTTTTCCAGCTTCTAGAGGCTGCCCATACACCTTGGCTTGTAGCCCCTTCTTGTATCTTCAAAGCCAGCAAGTTTGCACCGATGATCATTGTTCCCTAAGCACACCTCCCTATGACTCTCTTCTGCCTCTTGTCATTATTGGGCCACACAGATAGTGGCCCTATTTTAAATTAGTTAGTTAGCAACCTTAATTCCATCTGCAATTTTAATTCCCTTTTACTTGTAACCTAACATATTCATAGTTTCTCAGGATCAGGACATGGACATCTTTGGGAGGCCAAATGCTGCCTACAGTCTGGAAATGTACTGGAACTTTTTCTATCTTTAGGGGAGACTTAGTTAATTTTTTAAAAAAAAGACAAGGAGGGGGAAAAAAGCAAGGGGCTTTGGAGAGGAGGAAGAACACAGACCAAGCGGATTAATGACATGGGAGTCAAAACTCATCCTGAGCAAAGTTTGGATTAGAAAGGGATGGAAGAAGGGAAATGGAAATGCAGGCCAGACAGGAAGGCTCGGTGGCAATCATCAGACCAGTCTTCGTGATTCATGACATTTACTGAGAAACTCTTTAGAATAGCATTTAAAGAGGGGAGAGGGAGAGATTGGATGATAGATGATTAGATACTCCCCCCCTACCCAATGGGAAAGGCCTTGAATGGCAGGTAAATGCTCAGGACATTTCCTGGAAAGAGGTAAGAATAGCAAGTAAAGGGAATCTTAAGCTTTGATTACATCTTTAAGAAGAGGTAAGGAAAGACTAGGGCACCATCTGGTTCTTCTGGTCTCATAGTCATATAGGCTGAGGCTTGCATGGTGTACCAGTTGCTTGGACTAATAGTTTCCATGTGTCTTTGGTTTGGGGAGCTTTCTCTTTGACTCTTACAATCACAGTTCAAATGGAACCGATTTTGTGGAGATAATAACTAGTGATAACTGAAGCTAAATGTCAACTCAAAATGGATAAGTACTATTTCTATTTATTTTTGAGTTTTAACTTGTCCAAGGTGTTACAAGTATAATGTGACTGAACTGTGCTGTTTTTCTCTCCCCTACTCAGCTTGTTCAAACATACACAAGAGTAGAATAGCACAATGACCCCTCATGTACCCAACTACGGTGGATTGATGGTGATTATTCTTGTTTCATCCATACCACAAACCATGTTCCCCACCCAACTATTTTGAGCCTAATCCCAGATCTGTCATTTCTTCCCTAAATAATTCAGTATCTCTAATGCATTAAAAAAAAAAAAAAACCTAATTCCATTACCAAAAACCAAACCTACTGCTATCAAGTTGATTCTGACTCATAGCAACTCTATAGGACAGAGCAGAACTGCCCCATAGGATTTACAAGGTTCTGGTAGCATAGAGCGTAAGGCACTTGACTACTAACCAGAAGGCTGGCAGTTCAAACCCACCAGCCACTCCTCGGAAGGAAGATGGGGCAATCTACTTCCGTAGTGATACTGCCTCGGCAACCCAAGGAGGGGTCACTATGAGTCAGGTCTGACTTGACGGCACATAACAACAACAACAACAAATCTTTATAAGGAGCTCTGGTGGCCTAGTGCCTAAGGCATTTGACTACTAATCAGAAGCCTGGTGGTTCAAACCCACCAGCCACTCCTCGGAAGGAAGGTTGGGAATCTACTTCCGTAGTGATACCACCTTGAAAACCCAAGGAGGGGTAACTATGAGTTAGATCCGATTTGACAGCAGTGAGTTTTTAGAGATCTTTACGAAAGCAGACTGCCGCATAGTGGCTCATGGGTTTGAACTGCCAACCTTCTGGTTAGCAGCCAAATGCTTAAACACTGTGCCACCAGAGCTCCTTTAATTTCATTAGTACTCCTAAAATTTCAATAAATCCTTAATTTTAAATATCCAGAATTCAAATTATCCCAAATTTTTGTTGTTTTTTCAAATCCAAATTAAGTTAGCCCACTGCTGTTGGTCTCTTGTATTTTATTGTACAGATCCTCCCTGCTTTATTTTTCTCCCTTGTTTTTTTGTTGTTGTTGTTGTTGAAGAAACCTAGTCTTTGGTTCTCAGAATTGTCCCACATTCTAATTTATTTTATTTTTATTGTGATTTGGGTGAAAGTTTACAGAGCACATTCACTTTCCATACAGCAGCTCACATACATTTTGTCTCATGACATTGACTACAATTTCCCAAAATGCAACCATTTCCCCTCCCACTTCCTTTCCATAGTTACCTCTTTCCTGTGTCCTTTCCTCCCATGTACTCCTGCCCCACAAGCTGTCTCATTGTGTATACACAGCCTTTCTTTCTCCCATGATTGATCTCTCCAAGGAGTGTATCTACCTAATGTAAATGTTCAGCTCATATGCCTGTCTTTTGTTTGTCTGGAAGCCACAGGAGTGGGTTCAGTTCCAGACCTGAAGGGCAGCTAGGGACCATAGTGTCAGTAGTTCCATCAGGCTCTGTCAGACCAACAAACCTGGTCCTTTTTTTTTTTTAAATGATTTTGAGTTTTGTTCCACACTGTTCTCCCACTCTATCCAGGATCTCCTACATAGATCCCTCTCCAAGTGGTTGACAGTGGTAGCCAGGCACCATCTGGTTCTTCTGGTCTCATAGTCATATAGGCTGAGGATCGCATGGTGTACCAGTTGCTTGGACTAATAGTTTCCATGTGTCTTTGGTTTTCTTCATTCTTCTTTGCTCTGATGAGGAGAGATCCATTGTTGCATTTAGATGGCCACTTGCAAGCTTTTACGATCCCAGTTGCTACTCACCAAAGTAGGATATGGAACAATGTTTTGGGTAGTATGTTATGCCAATTAAGCCTGATGTCCCCTGTGCCTGTGGTCCCAAGCCCACAGGTCCAACTACTCACTCCCTCTGCGTGGCTGACTGTGGCCAAGAAGTGACTACAACCTTGCCCCTATCAGCTCTACCATATATACCTGGGAATTCTTACAGAACATACAAATACTTGTAGAAACATTGCCTGCCAACCCTATACATGGTCTTGGACACACTCCCTCCTGCATTGTTGTTGTTGTTATGTGCCATCGAATCGGACCCGACTCATAGCGACCCCTCCTTGGGTTTCCAAAGCAGTATCACTACAGAAGTAGATTGCCCAATCTTCTTTCCAAATAGTTCAGCCTGTTCACCCATCTATCCACCTGTATATCCATGTTTGCCATCAATGACAAGACAGTACTGTATGTGCAAGAGCGTTCATCTTTGTTCTTCCTACCTCCCATGCACTGTCTTCCTCTTCCTCAATGCCACATTGATCACTCACATTGGGTACACTGCCCTTCTCTTCACCCAAATCAATACTTGTCTGTACCTGTCTGTGTTCCCTCCCCTCCACTCCCACTCCCGGTAACCAACAAAGAAAATTTCCTTCCATGTATAAGGCTTTCCTTGACTTTTTACAATGGACTAAAAACAGGATTTATCCCTCTGTGATTGACTTATTTCACTCAGCATAATGTACTCCAAGTTCATCCACATTATGTGCTATTTTGCAGATTCTACGTTATTCTTTAGGATTGCATAGTATTCCATTGTGTGTATGTACCATAGTTTTGTTATCCATTCCTCTGTTGATGGGCACCTAGGTTGTTTTCATCTTTTGGCTATTGTAAATAGTGCTGCGATGAACCTGGGTGTGCATATATCTGTTCTTGTCATGGCTCTCACTTCTTTAGGCTACATACCTAGTAATAGAATGGCTGGGTCAAATGGGATCTCTAATTCCAACTTTTTTTTAAAGAATTGCCATACTGCTTTCCAGTGGTTGTATAATTGACAGTCCCACCAGCGGTGTATGAGAGTCCCAATCTCTCTGCATCCTCACCAGCATTTGTTATTTTCTGTCTTGTTGAGCTTTGCTACTAGTGCTGGGGCAAGATCACATTCTAGATTTTGCTGATGGCATCTCCATTAACTGTGCTTTGAACCTGGGTCCCCAAGACTTAAAGATCGCAAAAACTCTTTTCAAAAGACCACATCTCTGCAACTGTGAGGACCTGTTTGCCAGGTTCTTTACATGTAATAACAGTACTTTACACCTAAGATATTTGTCTGTTTTAGCAGTTATAACTGAGCTTCTGCGAGCATGCCCACAGTGACATAGCTAAAAGATGGAGCTAATATTGTAAGTCTGGTCAGCTTGATTCCACAGGCCATGCTTCTCCCACCGTGGCATTTTGTGATTATCAACATAGTTTTATTGTTAATCCAAGCAGCATTTTAAGTGTAAGGGAAGCTAATATAAAGAGATAGCTCCTAATATAAGAATGGGAGCTCTGGTAGCGTAGTGCCTAAGGCACTTGACTGCTAACCAGAAGGCTGGTGGTTCAAACCCACCAGCCACTCCTCAGAAGGAAGGTTGGGCAATCTACTTCCATAGTGATACTGCCTTGGAAACCCAAGGAGGTGTCGCAATGAGTTAGGTCTGACTCAACAGCAGATAACAACAACAACAACAAAATAAGAATTATCTATGCCTCCCAAAAAATACAGCCAAGAAATAAGACCAGTCAATTATGGGAGAAAGAGCCAATGTAATTAATGACTAGTCTTTATTGAACTGAAGAAAACTTTACAGCACATTTAGAGTGAGTCAGTGCAGTGCCTCAGTGAGCTAATTGGTGGGGCACCAGCTTGTAATGGGTTCCACAGCTAGGGCATCGCTGGGCTTCACCTTTGTGCAGCCAAAACCAGATGACAGCACTGTTGTCTTCTTCGCCTGAAAGGAAAACAGAGTCAAAGACTGTCTGGCCTGGAAGGGAAGGGTATTAACATTAATCTCTTTTCCTCAAAAACCTGAGACTCATATAAATTATAGTTCACATCTGAGAGAATAGTTTAAGCTCTCATTCTTATTTTTCAAATGAAGAAACGAAGGCCCTAAGTTGACCTGAAAATATCCTGACCTTGTATCAATGCCACTATAGGTTTCCTTGCCTTAAAGAACCCAAAAGCAAGATCCATTCTGGTATGTGTCCCTAGTACCTGAAATGGTACCTGGCACAGAAGAGGTACACAATAAATGTTTTCTGAATGAATACCCTTTGTTTATGTTTTATTTCTAATGACCCAGTATTACTGATGTTCCATGCCTCTGAAATTCCAGTAAGGATGACCCCCTGAGTCATGAAGAGGCTTGAGAGGGCAGTTTAGAACAACTTACTTACATACATATTCTCTTTACACATACACACTTACACAAAAGATCTGAAGCAGCTTATACACATCCTGTGGAGTCCCTGCATGGGGCAAATCTTTAAACCCACTGCCATGAAGTTGATTCTGACTCATAGCAACCCTACAGGAAGAGTAGAACTGTCCCATGGAGTTTCCAAGGCTATAAATCTTTAAGGAAGCAAACTGCCTCACCTTTCTCCCAAGGAGTAGCTATGGGATTTGAAGAGCTACCCTTTTGGTTAGCAGCCCAATGCTTTCACTACAGTGCCACCAGAGCTCCTACAGCACCCCATGTAGGAAGATGTATTAAATAGGTAAGAAAACAGTACTGAGGTACTTACAGATGCAGCCCACTATCCGCTTGTTGGTGATGGAGGGGACTAAATTAGGGTCTTCCTTGGTGCCTGCAGCTGCCTTTGGAGCAAGTATATTGTATGGATCCTAAAACAAAAGAAAAACAAGTCCATATATATGTCAAATAGCCCCTACCCTCTAGGAGGTCAGGTGGCTGTTAGCACTAGCTAGGATTCTTGGCTCAAAGGCTCCCAAAGAGGAGACTGTTCTAATCGCATCGAAGACCACGAGTTCCAGAAAAGATTTAGAAAGAAGTCTCTCCTCACCTGTCCTTTCCGTGCAGCCATCATGATCTCCCTCTCCAGCCCTGTGGCCTGTTCCTCGTCAGTAGGTACACCACCTAAAAGAGGATACAATTATGATCGAATGGAAAATGCACACACTTAAATTTTTGCATATTTGTAATGGGTTCACAAGCTCCTAACAGACACCTTTAGGTTCCCTAAGGTCCGTTGCGTCATGATGCCCGAAAGTGCCAGCACTCAGAGAATCTTTTCTTTCTCCAACCACTGAGGCCAATTTTTCTACACTTTTTCTAAAAGTAGCCAAATCAGAGCCCCACTGGGGTTCATCCGGCTTGAGATGAGCACGGGTTTAAAGGAGCTCCCCGTTCCAGTTGCAGCCCCTACCCCTCCCAAGGTCACCCGGTAACTGCATATAGGATTCTTTCACGTCAGTTCGGTGGGCTGCGGCAATGGGCCGGAACCATAAAGAGAATCCTGTGGGACTTGACTCATTCGGGGCCATGGGGCCTTCACTGGGACCCCGAACAGCTACACAGACGGCCCACTTCGCTACCCTAGCACCACCCCGAGGGTCAACGGTTCTGTTCTCTGGTGCGCCCGGCGGGCAGAATACCTCCAGACGTCATCGAGCGCAGGGCGGCGACCCCATTGGGACCGCGGGCCCTCAGGGCCTGAGCGGCCAGCGATCCAGCTCCGCGAAGTAACCTTGAAGCCATAGCGCCCCGTGACGATCAGCAACACTTCCGGAAAGAGGCTCCGAAGACAGGCAGGACTTCCGGAGGAGGATTTATTTACCGGTCCTGTCAGCTTTCCTCTTCCTCCTCGCCCCCGAGCCTGCCCCACTCACGTGACTTGTCGGTAGAAAAGGACTGCGCATGCCCAGCCCTGTTTCTGTCGCCCCTTTTGCCGCGCTGTCCCAGGTACCATTACCGGGGATTGGGTGCACGTCCGGGCCACACTGTGGTCTCAGTTGTACGCTCTTGGAGTTTTACCCTTTACTAACGTTAGGATTTGGGGCAAGTCGTTTAGTTCCTTGATTGTAGAATGGGGCAGTCCCTTTGGAGTTTCTGTGTGTCTTGCCTGACAGTGCTCAGTAAGCTCGCGTCAGTCCTGAGACTTGCTGGGCCCAAAATGACTTACGGGCTCCTAAACACGACCTTGTGAATTGCTACGCTTGTAGTTGTGGTATTATTTGTGAGGCAGTATGTGAGCCAGCGCGAACTTAAGTTCCTCGGCCCGTCGGCCCGTCGTACTACAAGAACTTGGACGGAACCTACCTGCAGTCCTGGCGTCAATTTCAAGTTAGATTTGTCCTTTGAGAAGTGATGAGGGTCAGCACTAAGACAGGGCTAGGGGTGGGGTGGATAAGATCCCTCCCAAGATGGATACGCCATGAAGTTGTTATCCAAGAAGAAGTTACACAAACCAGACTCACTGACGTGGAGTCGGATCCAACTCATAGCAACCGCTCCTTGGGTTTCTGAGGCAGTATCACTACGGAAGATTGCCCAACCCTCCTTCAGAGGAGTGGCTGGTGGGTTTGAACCGCCAGCCTTCTGGTTAGCAGTCAAATGCCTTAGGCACTACACCACCAGAGCTAGGGAAGGGGAATTGGTAATGGAAAATGAAATGGAGTCAAGATATTCTGTGGCCAGAGTTCTGTGTTTAAAACTAAAAACATCCATAGCTCTCCATGCCCATAGGCTAAGGTGTGCAAGCTTGTTACTACATGGGCATTCAAGAGCTTTCCCAAACAGTTCCCGGTCCATTGGCTCCTAGCGCTTTGCTGGCATTATCAATATAGTCCTGCCACAGTTTGGCTGTATGCAATATGTTTCTCCATCAGACAGTAAATCCCTTCAAAGCAGGAATGCTATTATTCCTTGAATGACTCCTTAGTGCCTTGAAGAGGCCTGTCGTATGCTTGTTGTTAGCTGCCATTGAGTTGACTCCAACTCATGGTGACCCTGTGTACAACAGAACTAGATGTTGCCCAGTCCTGCATCCTCACAATTATAGCAGATTTTAGTCCATCCTTCAGGTGACTGTGCCAATCCATCTCATGAGGGCCACACTCTCATTGGTCCTCTGCTTCACCAAACATGACGTCACCCTCTAGATAGCGATTTCTCCTGATGGCATGTCCAAAGCAAACGAGTCAGACAATGTCCGGCTGTGATCCATAAGGCTTTCATTGGCTAATTTTCAAAAGTAGATCACTGGGCCTTGCTAATCTATCTTTTAGTCTAAAAGCTCTGCTGAAGCCTAACCACCATGGGTGACCCTGCTGTATTTGAAATATTGGTGGCGTAGCTTCCAGCATCATAGCAACAGGCAGGCCAGTAGAATATGACAGACTGACAGACGTGTTGGTAGTGGCATAAAACAGGGTCAGGAAAATAAACAGAATCATTTTTGTAGGACTTCTCTTGGCCTGATAAGGTTAATTTGAGGCAAATTAGGGAGGATTGAAGTCTCAGGTATTCCCATGTGTCCCATGCAGGCTGTTGTTATTATTGTGTGTCATCAAGTCATAGCAACTCATAGCAACCCTATAAAACAGAGTAGAACTACCCCATTCGTTTTTCTAGGCTGTAATTTTTATGGGAGCAGATCATCAGGTCTTTTCTTCTGTGGAAGGACGGCTTTAGCATTTTGGTTAGCAGTCAAGTGCTTAACCATTGCACCACCAGGGCTCCTTGTCCCCATGTAGGTGTATTGTTGTCGTTGTTAGGTGCTGTCAAGTTGTCTCTGACTCATAGTGACATTTTGCACAGCAGAACGACACACCGCCTGGTCCCGCGCCAGCTCCATGATCCTTGCTATATTTGAGCCTATCGCGGCAGCCACTGTGTCAATACATCTCATTGAGGGCCTTCCCCTCTTTCATCGACCCTCCACCTTACCAAGCATGACATCCTTCTCCAACAAATGGTCCCTTCTGATACATGACCAAAGTAGTTGAGATAAAGTCTAGCCATTCTTGCTTCCAAGGAGCATTTCAGCTGCACTTCCTCTAGGACAGATTAGTTAGTTCTTTTAGCAGTCCACAGTACTTTCATCATTCTTCGCCAGCACCACAACTCAAAAGCATCAATTCTTCTTCGGTCTTCCTTCTTCATTGTCCAGCTCTCACATGCATATGTTGTTGTTGTTGTGTGCCGTTGAGTCGGACCCGACTTATAGCGAGTCCTCTTTGGGTTTCTGAGGCAGTATCACTACAGAAGTAGATTGCCCAACCTTCTTTCCAAGGAGTGGCTGGTGGGTTTGAACCGCCAGCCTTCTGGTTAGCAGTCAAGTGTCTTACACACTATGCTACCAGAGCTCCCATATGCATATGAGGTGATTGAAGATATCATGGCTTGTGTCAGGCACACCTGGGTGAAAAATGAGATGCAGTTAGTGCTCGTGGTATTTACATTTTCAGTTCCTGGACCTCTAAGGCAGTTGAACATCTTTTCATGTGTTTATTGGCTATTTGCATTTTCTCTGCTGGCTCAGCCACTCTTTTTGCCTTAGTTGTTTCACTTCCTTTAAAATGGGAATAGCATTTATCTCTGAGGGCTGTTGTGAGGACTAAATGAGTTAACACTTGAAAAACACTCAGGACTGTGCCCAATACGTTGGAAAAATTAACTTGAAAGTTGCGTATTCCACATATTCGTAGTTGCTTGTGTTTACCTAAATTAACGCTGGAAAAATACCCAGGAAACTGTATGAGTCCCTGGGTGGTGCTGCTGACCAAAAGCTTGGAGGTTCAAGTCCACTCAGAGGTGTCTCAGAAAACAGGCCTAGTGATCTGCTCTTGAAAAATCACCTACTGAAAACCCTATGGAACGGTTCACTCTGACATACATGCGTCCCCAGGAGTTGGAGTCTACCCAGTGACAACTGGTGGAGGGAAGTAGACCCATGAGGGCAAGGGTGGATGTGAGACTTTTCAGGGCACATGTTTTGTACTATTTTGAGTTTTGTTTATGGAAATGTATTACTTATTCATAAATAAAAGCAATTTTTTAAAAAATTGACTATCATATTTTTCTTATTTTGGGATATTGTTTATCTTGTCAGTTTGCAAGGACTCTGAAGTGTTGTTATGTGCCGTCAAGTTGTTTCTGACTCACAGCAGAACACAGCCTGGTCCTGTGCCATCTTCACAGTCGTTGCTATGCTTGAACTCACTGTTGTAGCCATCTCATTGAAAGTTTCACATAGTAGGAAGATTGTATTGAGGCCTTTCCATGGACCAAGGCTGGTCACTAATCAAGAGTAAAATGTGGTTTCTGCTTGGATTTATCACAAAAAAGTGGAAGAACAAAAAAAAAAAAAAAAAAACCCACTGCTGTCGAGTCGGATCCGACTCATAACCAGTCTTCTGGTTAGCAGTCAAATGCCTTAGGCACTAAACCACCAGAGCTCCCAGAAAGTGGAAGAGAGGGGCGTTTTTTAAAATATGGGGCAGAATGTACATAAACTTGAAATAATGGTGTCAAAAAAAAAACACTTTGTCTGTATGATTTCTGTTACTCTGGAGAGAAGCTCCAGGCTCCGATTGTACCACAAAAGCCCTGACCACTTTAGAAAGTGTGTGTTGGACCAGCTCTTAATTATACTGGCAGTGGGGGAAGAAAGCTGCTGAACACAGGCCTGCCTGAATCCTGAATCAGCAAGGACAAACCAGACCCCAGAGGAAGCCTAGGGAGGCCAGAGGAAGCTGTGACAAAGTCGCTGAACTTCCAGCTGTGAACTGGGACCCTCTGTTGAGCTGCCCTTGAAAAGCCAGTTCAGAACAAATGAACGTTTTTATGCAGATGCAGGCAATCCAAAATGGATCACCTGGAACTCCTGTCAGCAGGTGGCCTGGCTGTAGCTGAGGCTTGGAGGGACAGAGCCTTTAAAGCATTTAAAAAAAAAGAAAGAAAGAAAAGAAACCATAGAAATCTTGTAAACCAGTAGGTAGGGCACATAGGAGACAACATGAACTCTCACCCTTCCCTTTCAGGATTCTTCTCTCACTTCTGATACCCTCCCCCCATCCTCTGGAACCTCATTTATTCTGCCAAAGAGGAACTTGAGATCCACCTGGGAAATCCTAGTATTCTTCTCTTCCACATTCACCTATTCCTTCACTTCTCCTTCTCCCTCCATCCCTCTGAGCCCCTCCTTCCACCGCCCTCTGGCCCCTCCTCTCCAGGGCCAGTGGAGGAGCTTCTTTTGTAAGCCCTCAGGAGCCCACTGAATCCACCTGAAAGGTAGTAAAGGACAGTTTCAGGGGCAGGATTGCAAGAGCCGCAGGGATTGTGAGGACCTTGGATGGCCACAGCAGGGCGCTCGAACCACTCTGGGCCTGAGGGAGCAAAGGGGTGGGGTAGGGCAAGGTGTTACTGAAAAGTGATAAGAGCCAGAGCTGCACTGCAGAACCTTGGTAGAGCACATGGAGTGGAGGGTGAATGCCCAACATCTCCCTCCTCCCAGCTATCAGTTCCTGCTAGTGAAGCCAGCTGGCAATGAGAAAGCAAGGGAGTCCCTTGAATCCTCCTCCTGGGCCCAGAAAGAAGTGGAAGTGAAGGGTGAAGGGTGAACCTGGTTCACTGCCTCCTGGGACAATCCCTTGGTCAGATACATCGAGCATACTGTCACTTGCTGTTTTTTTTTTTTTCAGCAACTGATCATCAGTTTGTTAAACAGTTGATTTAACGTTTGTGATCATTAGCCA